GCTGCCTGTCCCCACCGGGACCTCAAACCAGTCCCTGTGCCGGGAGATTTCCTCGGACTGTCCCCGTGGAAGGGCGGGGGATGGCGAACGCTCCCACAGCTCAGGTGAAGCAACCACCAGCCATAAAACCCCTCAGCCGCAGTCCCCTCACGGTCCGTGTGCTGGAGCAGTGCATTCCCCCTTAGCTCCTTTCCCCCAGCAGAAGGAGGAAAAGGCCCCCCCTGCTTTTTTTTATTTTTTTTTAAATTTTTTTTTTTAAGGGTCCGTTTCTGCCCACAGAGTGTATAATGGTATGTCCAAGTCCCTTAAGAAATATGTTTCTGTGGGAAAAGATTTCTTAGTTTCTTGATGGAAGAAACTTGCAGTCTGAGCCTTGGCTTCGTGGGTGACTGTGTTAAGGGCTGTGTGTGGAAGTGCCTCCACATCTCCTCAGTGCCTTAAAGGAAGCATTTTTACTGCTGTTATTTTTGTTTTAAAGCTCTGTGTAAAATGGCTTTCAAAAGCATCAAGGTGAGTTAGCATTTTCACTTTTCCTAGAGGAATCTGGGAGGAAGGAGAGGCTTTTTGTCCAGTGAGTGAAGGGAACATAATTTCTTCCATAGGCTCGTTGAGATAAGGGCAGTCCCTGGGGTTTATGGCTGTCCAGCTCAGGTTGAAATTACATCTCTGTACTACGGAGAAACCCCACGCTGTGTTTATGAGCACACCCAGGGTGGGGTAGATCTTCAAATTAAGAATTGAGAAATTTCTTGGTTAGTGTTTGGGTGCCTTATTATACTCATTATCCTTGCTCTTGAGGTTTGCCAGCACTTGGACAAGACCCATCTCGCGGCCTCTTATCCTGTGGGTGCTTCTTCAACTCCTCCTAATCTACTGCTAGTCAACTTGTGGTGGATGGTAGTATGAGATCCAGCATCCATGCCAGTCCCTCCTGCTGTTCCTTGTCTGCTCTGAAGGCTGAAGAAAGCTGTGGGCCTTATCCTTAGCAGCCAAATACCAAAAGAACACATACAACCATTTTGGAATGCCAAATATATGTGATACTTAGAGAATTATTTATTCAGCATGTGTTTTTGTGTAAGCATGCTCAAGGTGATATTTTTCCTTTTGCTTTAAAAAGATGATTGTTACTGACCTTTGAAGGATGACTAAGAAAAAAGAGTGGGTTGTTCACCCCTCAAAGAGGATGAGGCAACCAGCCTGTGTATCGCTTCCAAAGACCACATATGTTTCCCCACCTGTATTTCTTAGGGTGTTTATTATATTTTTATCCACTATGATGCATTTGTTTTCATCTGTTTAATTTAGTTTTTAATGCCTGGAAGATATATATATGGAGGATCTTAGATCCACCTAGGAAATGTTACTCCGATACTGGATTTGTAAAAAAAATTATGTGATCCTTTTTATCTGTGATATTTTATTTGTTTGGTTTAGGATTGTGTTAAAATATTTTTGTGATTTAAGTCTTAGTTTTTGAGTGATCTCATATCTATTTAGGAATGATGAGCTTGCCTCAATTTACTTATATTTTGCAACACTAAGACTAGCTTACATTTTCTGTTAAGTGCTGGCAAAAGGGTAGGAGCTATTTGAAAGTAAAATGGCTTTGTAAGTTCTTTTTCAGGGTCATAGTTGAAACTAAATTCTGAAAATGAACTGTGTAGTGCTGCTTTTTCTGAGTGACACTTTGACACTAAGAAAATACAAAGGCATATCAGCATAAACATCAGTTAAATGTTCTGGAGTATTTTGGTTTTATTCCATTTTTAAAGATGTAAAGTAGTTTATAGAAAGAAACCATCTCTTACAGTCTTTCTGAAATGAAGTGAAATTGACTGATGTTGTTTTGTTACTGCTTGGATGTAAGATGCAAACAAATCCCCACCATGTTTCCTTGGAAAGCAGCAGTTGACTCCTTGTGGAGGTCCAAGGACTTTTCTAAGCATGGATATCCAATGTTTGTATGTCCAAATGTGGGTGTCTGATGCATTAGCATTGTGGAATTTAAATTTTGTTGTTGCTTTCTTGGCAGTTGATTTCAGGGATTTTTATGATTAATTTAGTAATGGTGGCTTTCAGATTCCCAGCTTAGGAGTATCTTAAGTAGCCAGGATTTGTTTTGGGGTAATGGCAACAACTAGGAACCACATCTCCTTTCAGGGACAGTCTGTCAGGTGCTGAGGAGAGAGGAGGAGCAGAGATATTTTAGCACTTCTCTGGATAAGGCTCCATTACTGTTACAGCATTTCTGTTTACTTGGAAAAAGTAAATAAAGTAAAAACTTGGAATTCCTTTATAATATTAGAAATTTAGACTTCTCAATGGGCAGGTGATGTGTTGTCCCTATGCTTTAAAATGAGAATAATGAGGGAGATGTGCAGAGCTGGAATTTCTGTGCTTTTAGGAAAGCAGACAAATGTGTCGAAGAGTTTGAGGTGTATGTCAGTTTCAAGTCGTGATTGGATGTGTGGGAGTCTCTAACATTTTGGATGTTTAGCAAAGCCACAGCATTTCTGTGAATTTTAAGATGACGTTTTTGAAAGGTGATATTTGCTTTCCTGATTATCTTAAAAACTAATTCTAAGACAGTCTTGCAGACTGACATTCGCTGGAAATGTTTCAGGCTAGTTCTTTAATGATCAATGTACTTTTTATTTGGTTAGAATACACCACTTGCAGCAAATACTGTTTGGTTTTTTTTTTTTTTTAAATACTTCCCACTGTTTGTCCTGCTCATTATCCTATTGCTCTAACTGAAGTCACAGTGCAGATGTAGAATCTAGCAGCTAAATTCTACAAAAATGGAAAACTGGGACATTTTCCAAGTGATTTAATGCTAAACTCTCATTGTGTGAGAAATTACAAGGGACATTGAATGGCATGAAAGGATTGATGGAAGTGGTGTGTGTATATATAAATATATATTATATAGGTTTGTGTGGGAATGATGTGCTGTAGTTTCAGGAAGTGCTGTGGAGTTGGGGTGGGAAGGCACTGGAGAAAGCATTGTCTGTAGTGATTGCTTAATTGGATATAATGTGCAATTTATTTTGAAGGCAGGGAAAGCAATGTAACAAATCTCTGCCATTTCTGAACTTTGCACAGAGCATTGGTAATGTGTGGGGCAGTTTCCGTCCAAATGAACAACTCACATCACCTGGGATGCTGACTAATGGGACATAATCTTCTCCATGCATTGAGAGGTTTACAGAGCACATCTTGGTCACTTCATTCCAATGCCTCAGGGAGATTTAGTGTGTCTGTACTTGTGGTTACACTGTTTGGCATGTTTGGATTGTTTCATTGCAGGACTTGGAGGCCACAGTACTTGAATTCTCAGGAACTGATTTTTCTTTGTCAAATATGAGTTGAGGCCTGTTGGAAATTTTACTGCTGTCCCTTCAGTTTTCAGTGTTATCTAAACACTTTTCATGGTTGGTAAAATTAATTTACTGGTAATCTGCTCAGATATATATTTCATTATCTCTTGGCACATG